CTGTATTGCTATGGAACCTTAACTAACAAAACCATAATCAAATACATATGCATACTCGTATGTATGCATACAAGAACTTTTGAATAAGGGATCAGATTACTAAGTTTTGTCTTATATTTTTAATACCAAATTTTTTTTTTGATATTGTTTAATTCGAGTTTTTTTTGAAAAAATTAACTTTAAAATATTGTGTTAGAGAAAAAATTATTTAAAGGACAACGATGCTTAAGTTTAAAGGTTTAATAAAATTAATAAAAAATTAAAAAATATTGACACTTTTTCTCAAACTTCTTCAAATATATTTTCAGATAATAATTTAAATATCTCATAACTTTATATAATTTCCAAGTCTACTAAATTTTATAAGAGCCGTTTTCCTCAAAAATAATTATATACATACATATATATGTTATGTACATATGTATGTATATGTAAGTTCCAGAATCTTTCCAGACTATTATTGTATATGCAAGCATACACAAACTTACTACATAAATCACTTTTTACCATTATAAACACAAAAACGCTACTATTAAAGAATTTATTTTAACAAAAACATAACCGTTTCAACAACACAAACTGAGTAAAGGATGAATATGAACATAAACATAATATCAGTTAGAGAAAATGAAATTCCCAGATTTGAATATGTGCCAAAACATTTTTGCATTATATCTATACATAAGTTAATATGTATGTTTATGTATAACGTAGATAGAGTAGTAATTTTCATTTTTGTGTAATTTTTTGTGGTATTTTAAAAATACATTTGTAAATTGAATTGCTTGTTAATACCTAGAAATATTTCTAAAATTATAAAAACTTGAATTCTAGAATTTAATTTAATTATCGAAATGGAGTTTATAACTTCTAATTCAAAACAGTTCAAAAATTTTACTAATTATTAAATTTATAAGTAGTTTTAATATTTTTTTTTTTAATTTTCTCAAAATTTTTACCCAAAACATCTTCATTTTTTCTAAAACTATTTACGAATTTAAAGCACATATTCGGCAAATTTGAAAGTGCAATTTTTAACAATTAACAATTTTACACTTGCAATTCCTCTTAGTTCCGATTGGAATTCATTTAATTCCAAAATTGAATTTCACTCGCTTTCAATTCTATGGTTTTTAATGGAATTGAATTTGATTGAATTTGCTATATAGTTCGATATTTGGATACATTTAATTTTATTTTAACTAGTCCATTCTACAAAAAAAAAAACTATAGTCAAACATGATAATATATTTCTAGAACCGAGAAGATTCAAGACTCTTAATTTCTGGAGTAAATCTAAATAATACCAAATCCGGGTAGAAGTTGCATATAAAAAGAAAAATTAGATCGAATTTGTAGTAGGACTTTTATAATTTGTGAATCTACTTCGAAATTCTTATTTTTAGACATTCAAATATTAGAGTATATGAAAACGCTTAGTTACAAACTTTCAAATGTATAGCTAACTGTCTATTTGCATACATATTTCTTTTGTCGTGTACGTAATTTTATATTGCTTATTTTTTTTTTATTTCAAGAGATTTCAAATAAATACTAATTAAAAATATGTTTACGCTTCAAGAAAATTAACAAATGTCCGAAAGCTTTTGATACTGACTGTATTTCTTGTAATGAATTATAATACGAAATGTAAAATAAAAGCTTATTGATAACCGATAATGTAATTTTTACCTCTTTAACTAATCTAATTCTTTACCGATATGCTCACGTAATAAAACTGAGTATGTATTTCAATTACAATTCTCAGTTTGTTTCAAGAATGACTAACATGTTAATAAACCATAAACGCTTCTGTTATCTTTTTATTTGTTTGCACATAATATTTAAATTTGGGTTAGAGTTCTAATTTTTTTTATTTATTTTTTATTTAACTTAAATATAGTAATTTCTTATGAATTTAATTATCGTAATTTATTAAAAGAACTATAAATTTTTGAAATAATAAATGAAGAAAATTAAAATTGCAAATTAATTGTACTTATTGAAAGAAATTTTCAATTTTTTTAAGGTGAAAAGATTTTTTAAACTAAAAATTAAATTAATTTTGTGACTAAGTACTAGGTGTACTGAGCACGAATCACAATAATGTATGTAGATAGGTAGGTACATTTCGGAATCAAATGCAGTTTGCAAGACGATAATTTAGTTTTGAAATACAAAGGGTTTGACTGTATATAAAATTGCCCATTTGAATCTAAATCAAAGAAAGATGCAAGACTCAAAAAACCCGACTATAATTTGTATTCAAAAATTTATTTGAAAATTTTTGATTATCACACTTATTTTATCAATTACATGTCTTCTCATTTCTTATGAACATTTAAATTAATTCTAAAATTTAATGGTCGGAAAATGAATAATAAGTGCATTGCTCTTAAAAAATATAAGAAATTTAATTTCTTTAGTTATCAATATTGAAATTTTGTATTTCCTTTTCTATATGATAATTAAATTAAATTGCTATATGTGGATTAGCAAGTGATAAATTTTTTTTTTCTTTTCCAGTTAATATTTTAAATTTCAACAATTCATCTTAAGCATTTAAAGCTTATTAAAAATTCAGCGATAATGTGTAAATAAAGCAATTTTTTTTATGTTTCTTGTTACCTTTTCTTTCTGTACATATGTACATATGTAGATATTATGTATTTGTATATTGGTTTGTATAGATCTTGGAAAATGAGGCTGTGGTATTTATATATAAGTATATAGGTAGGTACGGTACACATCAGTACATTTACGGATGCAATATTATAAAAAAAAAATAATTAATTAGAAGAAGCTTTCAACGATTTTCCATTATCTTCAAATAGTGATCTTTAAATATTATTTATAATTTAAATAATAATAATTATTAAGAATATGTGGAGATTCCTTTTTCATTTATAATAATAATATAAAAAAAATTTTAGTTTTTTATTTGAAAACTGCGGTTATATCGAATATAATAAAATAATTTGTTAACATACTCCACTAAAATAACTATTTAATCAGTTTTTTTTACAATATTAAAATTATTAAATTAATCTGTGTAACAGTAATAAACACCAACCTCCCTAAACTATTTTATTTCAAGAAGATCGTGATTATTGAGCATAGGTAGGTATTCCTGTTAACCCATTCAATATAAAAACAAAATTTATAGACACCAAACAAAAAGTTGGTGTCTATAAATAAGTAATTTTGGTCAGCAAATTTCTAAATCAATAGTTATGTATATAGATAGGTAGGTTCTAAGTGAACTTAGAAGTACATACTTAGTTTACATAAATCTACATACCCATATATTATCTAGATAATATGAACATGTAGGTAATATAGGTAAAATTCATTACCTAGTACCTTCTATTGTCTATATAAGATTTGTTAATTTTAATAAATCAATAAAACTTTGATTAATTTTCGAATAAGCTAAGCCATTAAAATTCTAATTAAAAATGTTAACATACAAAAATTTATTTTAATATCACAAATTATATTCTGATCTCGGAAAAGCCATTTAAATATAATGTAAGATCCTCGACTATTGTAGAATTTCACAACTGGTCGCTATAATCGCTATATGCATGTTTGTATGTACATATGTGAATAATTATCGTAGCAACATAAGTTAGTTAGGTCCTTCAACCCTCGATAAATTATTTAATACAAAATTCAAAATGGTTTCATTTCAATTTCATCACGAATTAAATCTTATTTTGCAGACTTTGCATAAGCATATTTTTTTTTTCTTGCGGGAACTTAAGTAATCTAGAACATTTCACTTTTCTTTAAAATCAATGTTTTAAAATGTGCACATACATACAGACATATGCACATTCAAAAATTAAATAACTTAAAAAAGTAAAAAGTACTTACTTGCTTGATGGTTTAGCATTATCTCCCAATCCACTGATAAAATTTGTTGAAGACATTATTTTTTTTTTCTTTATTTTAATCCGTCAAAAAAGTAAAATCAATTATTTATTAAAAGCGGTAAATTTTGTAACGATTTCTATTAAAAAATTTTTAATGCACGATCTCGAAAATTTTCTTATTCTTTTTTAACTTTTTAAGAACACACGAGGATCAATTAAAAATGTCCTTTTCTTGTCACGATTTTGCAGTTAGTTATACAAAGAAAATTTAACACCAGAAATTTTTTCCTTTTATAAAATATAAAAATTCAAATTGAAATTGAAATATAAGCAAAATATAATTTGATTTACAAAGATTTAGAAAATTGAAAAAAACGAACACGAAATTTTAATTATTATTTTGTAAGAAAATAAAATTTCTTCTTAATTAAAATAAAAAATTAATTTTTAAGACAAATTAAATTGACAACAAAGAACAAACACACCGTTTCGAACGAACGACACAAAACGATTGATAAATTTGAAAATTCCGCCTGTTTCATATGCTTTTTTGAATTTGCCGGAGACTTGGAAATTTGGAATAACTGCAAAATATTAAACCATATATATGTCTCTTTTTAGCCACGTCGTTTCAAACGAGTTAAAAGAGATAACTATATAAATTAAAACAAAAAAAACTAAATAAATGTGGAAATTGTGGAACGAAAACTGCAAAGAAAGAACACAAAAGAGAAATTTGTAAATGGTATGAATCAATTTTGGGATCAAACCAAAATTAAACCAAAAAAATATTTTATTATTCTACATAAATTATATGGAATATGGCGTGTTTCCATTGTAAATTACAATTTTTATGGATTTTAGAAATTATAAAAATTTAAATATAAATATTTAAGTCTAAAATTAGGAAAAAATTACAAAATTTATTGAGATGTAAACTTTAGTATGAACCAATTTCTAAACGCTCATTAATATCTCGACACATAAACTTTCCACGCTTATCTACCCTCCTCCATCCCCCCTAAAACATTATTCAAACAACACATTAAAAACAAAAAACGTACGTAATAAAAAAGAAAATTAGAAAAATAATAAAAACGAAAACGTCAAATGAGCTTGGGTTTTGGAAATTTTGGTCTTTGGATAACATTTTAAGGTTTAAAGTATTTTTTTTGTGCAAATCAATTATAAGAATTTTTATAATAAAAGAAGATATGATATTTTAAATTTATTTAAATTTAAAAGAAACAGAGTATTATAAAAAAAAATGTTAAATCAAATATCTGCTGAAGCTTTATATTCAGCAACTTTTGTAGAAAATTATATGGACTGCGTTGAAAATCTTCCAGATGATGTACAAAGGCATTTATCTAGGATACGTGATATTGATGTTCAAGTACGAAGTAAGTTAAAAAAAATTTAAATATTTGTCTTAATTTAAGAATTTTGAAAAACACAAAAAAAAAATTACATGAATATTAAATATAACCTCAATTATTTTTTGTGTACAAAATTTTTTTTCTAATAAGCAATACAATAATATATGTACACCTATTATAAACTTATTTATTTACTTATAATTAAGAACAATCCGTTTTTTTTTATTCCTTTTTAATTTAAAAGATTATTTACGCGATGTCGAAAATTATTATGATCAATGGGTTAGACTTACAAGTTCAACGAATGAAAGTGACATACAAAAACGTAGTAAATTAATGGCTAAAATACAAAAATCCTTTATAAACGCTCAAGAATTGGGTGATGAGAAGATGCAAACTGTAAATCAATTACAAGAGTTAATTGATCAAAAGACAAGGCAAGTTGATTTAGATTATAAAAATTTGGATTATGGTAAAGAAGATCAATTAATGGATACGAGTCCAATTGGTGTTTCAACTAGTGGTATTGGTAGTACGAGTGGTACATCAAATATAAATATTCAATCTGGTAATAATAATATACAAAAAACTCCAAGACCACATAGCCCGATATCATCTCAATTATTACCAACATCGGCAATTAAAGTTGAATCAACACAACAAAATGTTAATTATTCTATAGCTCAAACTATAACAACCATTATGAGTGGTGGTAATACACCATCTCAACGTGGTAATACACCTACAATATCAGAGAAGAATAATTCTAATAATAATAATAATAATAACAGCAACAATAATAATAATAATAACAGTAATAATAGTGGAAATAACAACAATAATAGCAATCCTATTGAACAACGAACAACAAGTAAAAGATCGCGAAGACCTAGAAATGAAAATAATTCAAATGTTAATGAAACTGGTGGAAATGAATCTAATAATTCTGCTAATGAAAGTGGTAATAACAGAAATTCTACACAATCAAATGCAATATCAGGTAGTAATTCTGGTAACAATAATAATGCAAACAATTCCAATTCTGGAAATTCTAAAAAAACTGGTGGGCAAGGTGGTGCTGGTGGTAAGAAAAAGAAACGTAAAACTCGTGGTCAAAATAATCAAAATCAAAAAGATCAAAGAGATGAAACACCACCACCAGATCCAATAGATCCAGATGAACCCACTTATTGTTTATGTGATCAGGTTTGTATTTTTTTTTTAAATTCATCATTTCTTACTATATTTAAAAAATTTGTTTTTCTATTTAAGATATCATTTGGCGAAATGATTTTATGTGATAATGATTTGTGTCCCATTGAATGGTTCCACTTTTCTTGCGTATCACTTATGTCAAAACCAAAAGGTAAATGGTTTTGTCCAAATTGTCGTGGCGATCGTCCTAATGTTATGAAACCGAAAGCTCAATTTTTGAAAGAACTGGAACGTTATAACAAAGAGAAGGAGGAGAAAACTTAAATTTTAATTTTATTTTAATTCAATTAAATGCATACATACTTTTAATTTTCAGACTAAAATTGAAACTTATAATTTTAAAAGATTAAAATTTCATAATTGCAAAATGTTTATTTAAGTTAAGTTGATTAAAATTAATAAGATTATATTTTTGTTGTTTGTAAAATACATATTATATACATAGGTTTATTTTGTGCTTTTGAATTTTAAATTTAAACTTTCGAAAATTATATTTTTCAATATAGAACTAAAATATTGTATAAAAATTTCTTATTAATTCGAAAGAAATAAATGTAATTTTTTTAAAAATTGAAGTACTTTTACATTCATCCCATAATATCCTATCGTTTCAAGGTGTGCGTCTATTGAATGAACATATATAGGTGCTCTGTTTCCACTTTTGAGTACCGCCATCCCAAAGCTGAAACAGTAAACAATTATTTTTGATATTGGTGTATGAACTGATATTGTTTGTTTCAAATATCAACGCGAAAGTACTGTCCATTTTCTTTTTGATCAATAGCCCAGCTTTCTGTTTTTTACCTTGCTCCATAGCCTATACATATGGAGATTCATAAATGTACTTACAGAGCAAAATGGAACTCACAAGTGAATGCCAAATTTATTTATGCTTAAAACGTAGCTGATTGATGTTCAACTAATTTCATTAAAGGTTCAACAGCTCCGTTTGGGGAAAAAGATTGCACGACACTAGCAAAAAGAGAATTAGAAGAATAGAAAAATTTGATCTTCTTTTCCTGAAAAGTATTTTGGGTTTGAACAATGTTGAAATGAAATTTACTTACGATATGGCATTAAAAAGGACGTTCATCTATATTTGGAGGTAGGTGATATACCATTATTATAGTGGAAAGGAATAAAAATCCAAAATTATTGTTATAATTAGAATTATTTATTATGAAAAGAAATACCATTAGTTATACGCAAAAATATTTCATCAGATACAGAACGAAATTTAAAAATAAGAATAGATGAGATGTGTGTGTTTTGCTTCGTAACTTTTAGTAAAAAATGCATACTTCAATGAGTTTGTGTAAATTTTTTTTTTTAAGTTAACCCAAAAACATACAATTTCAAATATATGTATTTGAAATATATTAGGGGATTATTCTTGGGCGGCCATTTGACTTGGTGTTGGAGCTTCATTATTACCATCTTTTTTCTTAGATCCAGATACAATATCATCAATTCTAAGTAATAAAATAGCTGTCTCAACTGCAGTTTTATACACTTGTAATTTTACAGATAATGGTTCCCAAATACCACGTACATTCATATCAACGATTTCCCCAGATTCACCATCAATACCCCAGGCACATACAGTATCACCAGAATGCGAAGCATGTTTTGCTCTAAGCATTGTTAGAGATCTGATTGTATTAGCACCACAATTCTGTGCTAAAGTTCTTGGAATAATTTCTAATGCTTGAGCTACAGCACTATATGGTCCTTTGACTTGACGTTTAGTCAACATTTGCGATATAGCCATTTCAATAGCACCACCACCTGGAACTAATCTTGGTTCCAAAACTAAATTACGAGCAACATGTAAAGCATCTTGTAAATTACGTTCAGTTTCATTTAAAATATCTTTTGATGGACCACGTAACAAAATTGTACAAGCTTTTGGATCCTGGCATTTTGTAACAAAAGTAAAATATTCATCTCCAATTTTTTTTATTTCAAAAAGGCCAGCTCTTGTACCAACATCTTTTTCAGTAAGCTCTTCAGTACGATTAACAATTGTTGCACCACAAGCTCTAGCAATTCTCAAATTATCAGTTTTTCGTAGACGACGAATTGCAGTGATACCAGCTTTTAATAAGTAATGTTGGGCTAAATCGGATACACCTTTTTCAGTGAAAACAACATTTGGTTTAAGAGCAATTATATCGGCACAAATTCTTTCAACATGTTCTTCTTCAATTTGAAGCATTCTTGTAAAATCTTGCTCGCCAACAATTTCCACATTAGTTTGACTTTCACCTAAAATTTGGAAATTTGTAAGATTTAAAATAAATATTTACTTTCTATACAATCTCATACCCTTTTTGTATTCTAAAGGACAATCTAGTAAAATTATTCTTGGGTTTTCAATATAACGACACATTTTTGGATGTGTTACATCTTTGTTAATCATAACCCCACTTAACACACATGATTCACTGATTGATCCTCCAGGAATTTTTTCAACTTTTGCATAACGTTTTATGTCCACATCTATCTTTCCATTTTCACTCATGGCAACCGTATCAACAGCATCTAAAGCAATTTTCACAGCTAAATCAGACCACCTATTAATGAATTTGGTGCCAATGCAAGACTTAACAACTTTAGCCATTTCTTCTCGATTGTTTCTATCTAAGGGAACTGATAGATCACTGTTTAAATGTTTTATAATGTCTTCGAGAGCTTCTCTGTATGCTCGAATAATCATAGTTGGATGCCATTGTTGTTGTAAAAATGGCTCTGCAACCGCCAACATTTCTCCAGCTAATACAATTACTGATGTTGTGCCGTCACCTACTTCCTCATCTTGTGTTCTAGCAATTTCGATCATACTTTTTGCTGCTGGATGTTGGACAGTGATTTCTCGAAGAATAGCATTTCCATCATTTGTCATAACTATTCCTCCCATTGGATCCATTAACATTTTTAACATTGCTTGAGGCCCCAAACATGTTCTAATAACATCAGCAATAGCCTATAATTTATTAGAAGTTAAAAATTAGGTTAAAATTTTCATTATTGTTTTTATGTTAACAACCATAATATTGCTCACTCTTATGCTAAATTTAACAGTAAGTTCAACTAATATAGTATGATAGAGAATGATGTAAGTTAAATTTTTCCATAAATCAAAAAATTCGTTTATAAAATCGAAATTTATTTTAAAAATTTAACCTATGAGTGAGTCATTTGATAAAAAAAAAATGTTACCTTCCCAGCGGTAATGTTTTCCAGCTGAACTTTTCTACCGGAATTTCTTTTTGTATTTTGACCTACGAATAATTATAATATAATAAAATTGCGTATATTAATTTAAATAATACGTTACTTAAAACCAAAATCGGCTGAGCTCCACCAAACATTTTGTTATTTTAAATTAATTCTTTAGGAAAAAATAAATTACTTAGGAAAACTCGTGCTTTATTGCTAAAAATGAAAACTGCGGAGGTTATGTCAAGTTTATTTGTCACTACTCTTGACAACCTACAAGAATATTTGGTTAGGTGAAATCTACAGAAAAATAATTTAGAATCCAAATTTGACAGTAAATAAGGGTTTGTGCACAAAATAAGAATTTTAAAAATATTTTCATTCACCAAAAAATTTTTTTTATTTTTGACAATTGTTTTTTATTCTTTAAATTGTCATTCTTTTTTATATATTTGAACTAATAATCGCAAATTAAATTGTTTGACACATAATTGTATTTAAAGTAAAAGGAGTAAAGTTCTTTTCTTTTTTACATAATTTGTGATTGAACACAATAATTTTTAATTTATCGAACCCAAATTGTTATCAAAAATTTTATTGGTTTTAAATTTTGCTATATATTTGGAGTTGTATTTTATTCCACCACACTTCGTATTGTTCATACGCTCTAAAAATTTCTCACAAGATGGCAGTAAATTCATTAGAAATATATAATGAAACAAAATGGCTTTATTATAATTGGCAGTAAATTCAATAGAAAGATAGTATTATTATAGATGACAGTAAATTCATTAGAAATAATTTGTTAAGAACCGGCTTTATTATTCCAGTACCGAAAATTAAGTTTCCAGCTGTAATTCCAGAAAACATAAAAATGCCCAACAGCTGATTGTCAAAAAACAATGATTCGGTAATACAAAGCTAAAAAATTTTTTGTCATAAAGTTTATTGATAATTTGATACTCTTTGTTTTAAGTTGTTTTAAAGAAAAAAGATAGTTTGTGAAGAAAGAAAAAAATATTAAAAATTATTTCATCTGTAAAATTAATTATTTAAAAATTGATATTTTGAACATTATTTTTTAAAATGTTAAAATATTTTATATTTGCATTTTGCCTACCAGTATTATTAAATGCGGAATTAGTCAGGTAAGCAAATTAAATTACAAATATATGTATATATGTTTGTACACATAAGTTAAATTTTGAATATATATATATATAAAAATAGATATAAAGGTACATACCTAGTTGTAATTGTTTGAAACACTATATGAGTCATTATTTATCAACAGATTATTTAATTATATACACACAAACATACTGCACAAAAATTAAGCAAAGAAACCTTACATTTTCTTACATACATAAATACATAGGTGCGGAAGTCACCTTCAGTAATATCACTAAAAAATTAGAGTCAGATTAAACTGTGTACATACGTACATACGTAATTTATAGACCATTTTTGTTAGTAGTCCTGTTTATAATAAATATATGTATGTAAATATGTATTAAATAAAAATATATAAGATGTTTGTACAAGAACATGCTCTTTTTAAAACGCATTAAAATTTTATGATGAAGTTGGCAAACAATCATTTAATTTTTTGTCTAATATCTAATTCTATGCGTAGCAATATAAAATTGCCATCATGTCACAATCTTTGGTAAACATTTTATTGTAGTCTTATTCCATTTTAAATTTCAGGTATACCCACATAGATGGGTAGTAGATATTGCAAGTTTGTACAAGGAAGAAAATTGAATAAGAAAACTTGAATGCGAGAGTGTATGCATGTTTATATTAACTTGCCGGTTTCAAAATTAGTAGTCAATTGTGCTATGAAGCTAGCAACAAAATCTTAACGGGTAGGATAATAAACTACTGACATGCATTTTTACCAATTATAAAACTAATTATGTAAAGTTATATGTGTATATTTTGGAATTTACTTTATTAAAAAGTCAAGAAGCAAAAGTAAAATTTGATTTGAAACAATTGGGCACTAGTATCTACGTACATCTTACAGGTTCAAATTTCAATATAACTTATAAATTATGGATGCCTTACAGGAGCATACCAATATTAATATTTTTCTATTTAATATTTAAAAATCTTTCGAAGAAAACAGAGAAATATTTTTCCAAAATTCTCGAGATTTTATTATTGTAAATAATTTTATAAAATCGCAAATGTTATTTTAGGTTAAAGTTTATTAAATAGGCTTATCTACACAAATTATTACAAGTTTAAAAAAAAACTTATCAATAATGGAATAAGAAAATAAATATTACCAGACAAAATGTTCAATAATTTACACAAAACAAGATTACTTTTAATTAACGGGGATTTTGTACTTTATATGTGTAGTCACATCTGTATGTACATCCATATATATATATATATATATTATGTATATATATATATACATACATATTGATGTATCTATTTATCAGTAAACAAAGTTGAAAGGGTCATTAATCTGACCACCGATTTCATATTATTTTTCTCAGCTTAGTACCTATACTTTGTTATATTTATTTGATAACAGATGAGAGAAAATAATTAATAATTTAAAATATTGTTATTATTTTGCAGAGTCAAATTAGAACGTGCAGAAAATGTTCGCAATCATTTCAGAAGAGTTGGTACAGAATTACAACAATTACGATTAAAATATGTTGAAGGTCCTACACCAGAACCTCTATCAAATTATATGGATGTAAATATTATTTCTATATTAAAGTATTTTTAAACCTTACATCTTTTTCTTATTTTAGGCTCAATATTTTGGAGTAATTTCGATTGGAACACCACCTCAAAGCTTTAAGGTTGTATTTGATACTGGTTCATCAAATTTATGGGTCCCCTCAAAACAATGTCATATTACAAATATAGCATGTTGTATGTTGAATACCTATATTAAATTTTATTTTATTTTTTTCAAATACAAATAATATGTTTTATTTTTAGTACTTCACAATAAATATGATGCAAATAAATCAAAAACCTTTGTTAAGAATGGTACCGAATTTGCTATTCATTATGGTACTGGTAGCTTATCTGGTTATTTATCCCAAGATACAGTCAATGTAAGATTTTTTTAAATAAGAAAAAAATGTTTAAATGCTAAAAATAATTTTTGTATTTTTCATTTACATAGATAGGAGGAATAGACATAAAAGATCAAATATTTGCAGAAGCTATCAGTGAACCAGGACTTGTATTTGTTGCAGCTAGATTTGATGGAATTCTCGGTTTAGCATATAAATCAATTGCAGTTGATGGTGTACAACCACCATTTTATAATATGTATAATCAAGGATCTGTACAATCTCCAGTATTTTCATTTTATTTGAATCGTGACCCTTCAGCACCCGAAGGTGGAGAAATCATGTTCGGTGGATCTGATCCTGCTAAATATAAAGGTAAAAAAATATAAAACTAATTATGATATACGTGGATATAAATTCTACTTAAAAAACTTTTTCAGGCGATTTTACTTATGTACCAGTAACACGGAAAGCCTATTGGCAATTTAAAATGGATTCAGGTACAGTCGGTAATACAGAATTTTGTAAAAATGGTTGTGAAGCAATCGCTGATACCGGAACTAGTTTAATTGCTGGACCAGTTGGTGAAATTTCTGAAGTTAATAAAGCAATAGGTGCAACACCAATAATGGGCGGTGAATCAATGGTTGATTGCTCTTTAATACCAAAAATGCCAAATGTTAAATTTGTTATTGGTGGAAAATCTTTTGAATTAGAACCCAAAGATTATGTTTTAAGAGTAATATTATAATTAGATTTAACGATTTCTAAATTTTTTAAACGTCAATATTTTTAGGTATCTCAGTTTGGCAAAACTATGTGTATTTCTGGATTTATGGGACTAGATATTCCACCTCCAAACGGACCATTATGGATTTTAGGTGATGTTTTCATTGGAAAATATTATACAGAATTTGATGTTGGTAATGACAGAATAGGATTTGCTGAGGCAGCTTAATTTTCTTTGAAAAACATACAAAATTTTAAATACCAAAAATATATTTTACATGCCTTAGAACAAAGAAGCAAAAGTTTAAAAATTCAGTTTTGAACTAATTTAGTAATGTAATTGAATTCGAACAAATAAAGATATTAATCATTGAAGACTTATTACTATATAAAAAAAAGAATAAGGGTACTATTTAGTCCAACAGGTGTTTTAACATTGCTCATGTGAATATATTCGTACGTTATTTTAAGATTTAATAAACAATTCAAATTATGAGTTCTTATGGCTGAATTGTCTAGCAACACATTTTTACTGAATTTTGAAGTTACGATAAATTAATATAAATTTATTAACATTTTTACATTGTATAAGCGGTAAATACTTTAATAGCTGAATTCATGGAATCAAATTCTAACCTTGTGAAGTTTTTTGAAAAATTATTGTTTATATATATGTATATTGTTTATATATTTGAAAAATTATATTGTTTATATACATTTTCTCAAATATTTGACCATCATTAACTTCAAAATTCAGTAATATTTTTAATATTACATAATCCAGCATCTACGCATTACTACAATTTTGAAGTCATTTGAATTAATGCCAAGATTACTTAAGTTTAACATCAGAAATAATGAGCGCTTTCCCTAATAGTCTTCGAAGTATTTAATATTTTATTAATCTTAATTTTTAAAAAATCTTGACTTCAAAATATCAGTTAGAGGATATTAATACAAAATTCAGTCTATGGGTTGTTATTGTGTATTTGAAGTCGTGAATGCTCTAAACAAGCAAGTCCAGAAAATGCAAGTTAGATTTAGCAGTCTTCAATGCAGTAACCGTATGATTCTGTGTAAATTAATATGTATGCTGACTTCAAAATTATAGTAAAATTATGTTTTACAAATCTTACTTATGAGTTTTAAATGTTGAATTACCAAGGAATTACAATATTTTGGGTAAGCTCTTACATATAATTCCAAATTATTTTGTAATTTAATAAAGATAACCCTTATTTTCATTATGTCTTTTTTTAATAATAAACTGAATATTTGTTGTTATGGAAATCAAAATAAAATATTGTTTTACTTTTTAATTTCATTTTGAATAAAAATTATTATTAAGGAGGTAATATACAATCAAAGTCAATGTAAACCAGCTTAAATAATTAAAAACAATATAATTTATCCAGAAATTTTTAATAAAAATGGAAAGAAAACAAGGCTTTTTAAAGTAATATTTTTTGTTCAAATTTTATTTTATTGTAAAAGTTCAAACGTATTCTTCTAATTTAATTTTGAAGATGGTCACATCATATCACGTATACCGAACCAACTTTTATTAAAGAAAAAATTTTTGCTTACCATTGTGATGACACTATTACATTTTTTGATCTTGCAACTAAACAACAAACATTTTATTATGCATTCGGAGGTGATTCAGGTGATGGAGTATCATGTATAACTGGTCATAATAATTATTTTATGTTTGCATTTGCTGAATTGAAATATAAACCAAATATTTATATGGTGCTATATCCAAATATGCAAATAACTAAAATATTACCTTGTAAGCTAAATATATATGTAAATTTTTTTCAAAGTTAATTATTAATAAAAAAAAAAATTTTAATTTTAGCAAATCATATCACAAAATATATTGATATTAGATTTACAGATTCGGAATATATTATTGGTTTAACAGGTTATCCTTTATTTGCAATTGCTATTTGGAATTACAGAAAAGGTATTATAATGGGTGAATATCGCACTGAAATTATGATTGAAAAACAAAAATTAATATGTGGATCAACTGGAAATATATGTGCTCAATATTGTTCAATTACCAGAGAAATTAATATTTGGGAAATAAATTCGATTAGTGAAAAAGTTTTCCTTATTAAAAAGAATATAAAATTAACATCAATTAAAAGTGAAATTGATATTGATTTAACATTTGGTCTCGATGGTAACTTATATTTAATTGATTCTGGTGGAATATTTTATATGGTAAGATATTTAAATCGTTAATACTTTAATAAATAAATACCTTGCTCATGTAATTGTAAAATAATTCAAAACTTACCCACATATACACATGTATGTTTAGACTGCACTACTATTGTAGTTTGGTTTTCTTATTGATGAATTGCCGTGAATGTTGACGTTAAAATCTAACTTAATCTAACTTGACTGATTCAGCAATATGATTTTAATTTAAATTTTTGCATTAACGTTTTTTAAATTTTTTTTTTAATTATTAGAAATTATAAATACATATACATATGTACTTTATTTGAGAATGGTCACTGCATCTTCTATTTTGAAACCCTGGGGTCTTATCACGTAATTCGATTTTTTTGAAACGATTTTCATATTTGCAGAAAGGGAAAGGTTGTACTATACAAATTGATTGGTACTACCTTATCTTATTTCCGAATATGAAAATCGTTTCACGAAAATCGAATTACATAGTAAGGTCCCAAGTTTTTTTCTTTTGCTTGCTTATTCTAGCAAACTTCAAAGATAAGTTTTCTGTTTTGAACTTTTGGTTGTTATTTTAGAGCTTATTGATTTCGACTATATTTTCCGAATAGTCTCAATTTCAAAATTAGTTTTCATTTACATATTTTAAAAAATCGAAATTTTTTGAATCGATTTTTTTAAATCTATAAATACTATCGATAAATTCGATTCAACTAAGCAATGAATAGCTGAACTAACTCTAAATTTTTAACTTTAAGCAATTATTATGAATACATAAATTTATTTTTTAAAGATTCAAGGTACAAACTGTATTTTAAAAAAACTTTGGATTTGGGACGACAAAATTGAATCAAATGCTGAAGGTTCATGGTTTATTGAAACTCATAAAGGTGGTTTCTTAATATTAAGCTGTAACAATTACCTAAAATTTCTAAAAAAGGATAAAACTTGGAATGTTATTTTTACAATTGAGTTAACCGAATCAATTAATTGGCTTAAATCAATAAATAATTTTGAAAAAACTTATTTCTTAACAAAGGATTGGAAAATTCAAATTTTACTAGATAATTCAGAAAAATCTGGATTGGAAGAAATTGGTGAAATTGGACCATTTATAAAACAATTTGCTTTAATTCAACCTTATGCAAAAAATGTTGCACTTTTACTTAAATCAAACCAAATAAGAATTTCTGATATTGTTACTGGAACAGTTCTTTCAAAAATACAAGTAAATGAGGCGATCTATTTTAAATCGTATCCTACGTTACCAGTATTAATTGTTGGTCATTCAGATGGTACAATAACTTTAATTTCATGTTATGAATTAAAAAATCCAAAAATTCTTACAAATTTCAAATTAAATAATTTTCCAGTCAAGGATATTTTAAATACAGAAGATTATATGGTAACATTTGATTGTAGTAAAACATTTTTTATTATCAAAGGGAAAATTGGTGGTTCATTAGAAGTTGTGAAGTATTTTCAAATAAAATACGATATATATAAAATGGTGGCCATAGAAGATAGTGAATCATCTTTGAAGTTGATCATAATTCCATGGAAAAATTATGAATTTCAAATGGAACTAATAGTTTTAATATATGAAAATGATAAAATAACAGAAAAAATTTATAAATTAAAGTTTAATTTAGTTGACATTATAACAATTGAAAAGCGTTTACTGGGATCAGCTTTTAAATCAAATGAAATTTATGAATTAAATTTGGATAATGAAAATATAATTGATAATTTATGGCAGAAATCAATTCATCATATTAAATACACTAGATTGTATGGAATTCAAAATACAATAATGACATGGGGACTTGATGGAATCGTGAGTTTCTATGATTTTAGTAAAAAATCTTTGAATTATGCATTTTCTGTACAAAACCGAAGAAATGAAATGGATTATATAATATCTGCGCAATGTACACCAAACCAAAAGTAAATATTATTTATTTGTTTTATTAAATTTGCACAATAATTTCAATTCATTACTAATTTTAGACACTGTTTCATTCTAACAAAAAAAGGAACCCTTAAATGTTTTACAACCAAAGAGAAAATTCCTGATTTTGTTATAAATATTCAATTAGAAAATTATTTCATTAATGCAACAACTTTCCCATATAATATGGAATCGGGTGAGATGATTATAATGATTTTTATTCTACACTTAATCTCTATAGTATTGCGTTGTTACAATCTCTATAAAATTTCTATAGTATTGCGTTAAAAACAAAAATTCTTTTTATATATTTTAGGAAGATCATGGATTGAAGAAATGTCATTTGATAAATTTGAGAAAGAAAAAATAAAATTTGCTAGCAAGAGAGAAAAAATTATGGATGATTTACAAAAAATTAGAGAAAAAGTACAAGCTTTAGTTGATGAAAATGAAGCACTTGAAGATCCAGATGATCGTGTTCCTCTGAGTAGCTTGAATGTAGCTAAAGAATATGCTCAACGTATTATCGATAAAGCAAAAAAGAATCGTGAAGCTGAAGATAAAATATTAAAAGAATTTATAGCACATCAAAATCGTATTACATCTCTTATTCTTAGTCAAACATGGAGTCATATGTTAAAGAAAAATCAAAAAGTTTTTGGTATTTTTACACATTTAGAATGTGAAAATTATGCTTTGTCACATTTCGATTTGAAAAAATTTGAAAATATTGAAGAGAAAATAAATTTACATCGAAATAAAGAAATTTCATCAGATATTTGGTATGCATTTCTACCACCATGGCAAAAAAAAATTTATGATCCTGAAAAACGAAAATCAATAGAAATTCTTCAAACTGACGTTAGTGAATCAATTGTTGGATCACAAAAACAAATAATAGAAAGAAATCAACAATTTGCTCTTTCTGGGACTGCAACACATATTTTTATTGATCCTCATCCAGCTCAATATCATCAATTCGAAACAACAACCTTTAATCAAATGTACATTCAGGAGTTTTTGGTTGAGGTACATATATTGTTTCTGGATAATGTTTTTAAGAAAATCATATTAAAATTTTTTTTTTGCTAGTTTGATGTTAGAAAATTAAAACAAAGCTTTAACAAAATTTTTGAAAAAATGATTCAGACAAAAGAAGATACCTTGAAATACGTTAGAGAAAGAAATGACCGCTTTAGAGTTATTCAAACTGAACAGAATGCTTTGGCTCTTTTAAGAGGTGCTGATCCAAATTTTACCCGATATATTGAAGATCCTGAAGTAGCACCAGAGGAAACTCCTGAATCAGTAACGAAAGTAAGTTGCTTGGAAGCTTGGAAAATAAGAATTCCAGAATTCAACTAGATATGTTTATTTGAGATTTTCTGAAATACAAAATCAAAATTTCTATAACTATATCAATATATTTTTTAGGTTGAAGAAACAGAAATTAAAGTAAAACCTTATATATCTCCAACTGAACAACGATTAATGGAAGAACTGGCACAAAAAGAGGAATTAAGACGTTTAGCTTTATTAGCAGATGATTTTCGTGAAAGAGCATTAACTGTAATGATGGATGGTGTATTGGAAAAACGTTGGGAAGATGAAATCAAAAAAGATGTCCCAAAACCTCAATGTTTACTTAAGGATAAAGATCCTAACGATTATACAAAAGATGATCATAGAGCATTAAAAGAATATGAAGAAAAAGTTGAATTTATTTGTTCAGAACGTGAACGTTATCGAGTGATGTTAGATGAAGAAGACAAAAGACTGCAAATAATACAAGATGAAAATATTTTAAAATTTAATCAGAAATGTGGTGAATTATTTTTACAAAAATTGCAATACGATGCAGCTGTTAAACAGGAAGAATTGAAATTATTAAGAACATCTTCCTTTAATTATCAACGAATAAAATTTAAACAAAAAGAAGTTACTTTAATGTAATTTTATTTTTAAATTCAACAATGCTAATTTAGTAACTAAAATATCTTTTTAGTAATAATTTGACTGAAAAACGAAAAAAAGTTGATGAATTAACAGCAGTTATTGCAGAAATTGAGAAAAAATTTCAAGAGTATCAACAAAAATATGAGCAATTACAAAATCGTGATAAAGGAATGGAAAAAGGTTTTAAGTCTCAGTATGCCGAAAGTGCACCAGCTTTTGTTTTAGATACAGCATATAAATCATTTAAACGTAGACCTAAATGGCAACAAAAAGCTTCGGCAACAGCAACTATTTACAATGAATTGGCAAATATCATTATAAGTAAAAGTTCATTAAAAGATACTTTTCCATTACCTCCCGACTGTTATGAGTACTTAAATTTATTGGAAAATAATGATCATTTTAGTCAAGCGCCCAGTATAATCGATCAAAAATTATGGGAAATATTATGCCGTTTAAGAAGAGCAAAAATTGATAGTGAATTTAGAGTAAGTATTAGAGGATGTTTAATTGTTGAACTCAACTTATTCAGCAATATAATTTTAATTGCTGAATAAGCGAAATTATTGTAAGATCTGCATTTATGCGCTTGCTCTTTATAAAATTGATTTAACAATGAAAATAATGAAAATATAATTTGAATTTTTTTTATATAAAGTTAAAAGCTCTTGGTTTGCAACTAGCAGAAATAGAAGCCACTCTTAATTTATTTATAAAAGAAGTTTCTACTACAAAATCAATGAATTCTTCATTGGAAAAGGATTTGCGAGATTTGAATTTTGCTTATGTATGTATAAAATTTCATATTTCATAAATTTCTATATAGTAATTATGATTCTTATTTTAAAATTTTTAGCAAGATTTTGTAAGAAACAGAACAGTTCAAATTGTTATGCCAATGGGTCTGGTAGAAGTTCCATTAACTGGCAAAATGTCTGATTTTCAAGGAAGTCTTTTATTGAGTAGAGCTGATATTGACGACATAAATACTATTATTAAGGTTAGTTAGTTTTTTTTGTTTATTTCGTGAGCCTTGCAATCTTGCATAGTAAGTTGAGTACAACTAGACATTTTGAAGTTATGGAGTATTATAGTTATTCGGATAATAAGGAATGGCTGTAATTGAAAATGTCTTTTGCACATTTTTTTTCTAAATTTTAGTTGTAATTTTATAAAGAATTGCATAAAAATTTCTTTGTTTTAGAAAACTGGACAGAAAAAATTAAAAACCATGTACAGACTGGCTGTATTCCGACGAAAAGTTTTAATGAAAGAATGGGAGCATACTGCTTTACAGATGTCAGTTCAAGATTTAAAAGATTTTCTTAATGTGGTTGAACATACAAATGTTACATTCGAAATGAGACAATGGTTAAGAGAAAAATCTGAAAATCGTCTTATTGAAGTTACGAATAGTTATTTGAGACGAAAAGTTGAAGCTAAATTACAATACTTAAATAGATCTATTAAGGAAAGGTAAGTACCTATTATAAGTACATGTGCACATTAATATATGAAAATTATTTTTTGCTAATATTTTTGGCTTATTATCTCGTAAAACTAGAAAAGTCGACATATTTGTATCTATCATAGAATACCTAATTGCGGGGGTGCATGAAATAGATTGTATTGCATTTCACATCTCAATCTGAGCACAGATTTCAATAGTTTACTAATATATATGTACATATTTTGCAACTTATGTTCGAAATTGCTCCGCGTTCGGTATGATAACATGAAAAGTATGAAAAGAAAGCCATTGTTGTATAGAAAATTTCGTCGGTCAATGCACTTTCGCTTCAAATATCGATAAAAATGTGCTCGAAATTTGATAACAGAGAAATTTTATATTTTGTAAGAAAACAGTTGAAATTTTACCACGTTTCCTACAATCCGTTGGAAACTTCTGAACGATTTGCAAGATAAAGCAAAATGCGAACTGTGACTTTTCTTTCTTACGTAAATGCTAAATTTTTTATGTTTAAATATTTGAATCTGACGAACGGTACAAGATAGGGCCGATGATTACATTCAAAGGAGCTAATTTTGAAAACCCATAGTACTACCGCAGCGTAAATTTTTTTGAAAAATGGCATTTGTTGCCGCAAAGTATTCATCTGATAGTTTGTTGATTTTCGCTTTCCGGTAAATGCTTTTAAAGCCATTATATTGTTCATTTGTTTTAATTTTGTATATAAAAACTAATTTTATTTTTTATAAACTTCTTCAAACTCTAAATAAATTTTGTTTTAATTTTTCATTCTTATTTAAAATTTAATATTTTAGCAATGACAAAATTGATGAGTGTATTACAAAAATTAAAGAACAAAAAATTGAAAATTCTAAACTGGATAGAGCTATTAAACTATTAAATATTGATGTAACTGAAAAGAATTTAAATCGTGATTTAGTTTTTGAGGAAAAACAAATAAGAGAACAAAGAGAAAGGTGCATATAAATACATACAACCATTTATTTATATTTTATTGCATACATAAAATAATTTTTTTTTTCATTTTAGAATGGTTATCTGTATGGAACGAAGTAGATTAATTAGAAAAGTTCAAGCTGGTCATTTGCAAATATTGGAATTGGCAACATTATTAGAACTTCAAAAATTAAAAACATATCCGACATTAAATCCTTTAATGAAAAATTTATCTACTATTTCAAATACTCAATAGAATATTTTTTATATTAAGATATTTTTATATTGAACCAAAAGATTTCATTGTGAAATTAAATTAAAATCGAAAATGTGTGGAAAAAATAAGGTTTCCGTGAAAATTTTTAAGATTTTTCAATTATAACCATATTTTATAATTCAAAATTGAGTTATAAAATATGGTTATAGTTAGATCTAGTGAAATCTGGTTGTAAATTTATAATTTTTTTTTTCTTTTGAAATTTCAGATGAAAAATTATGAATTTATGATTTTCTTAAAGTTTTTGTCTTTAAAAATTTGGGAAAGTAATTATTGTTTCATGACTAATTCCAAACCAAAAAAAACGCCATTTTTATTATATAGCTTACTCTTAGGACATACAAGCGGACATTAAAACTCAAAGACATTATTAAATAATTTGAAATTCTTAACTTTCAAATTTTGCTATTGTAAATTCAAATATTTTTCTTAGCATTTCCTTCGCATTAGCTGCATTTCGTATTCACATTATTTGCATTTCATGCATTTAATTTAATATTAATTTTACGATTTGAATAGCACATAAACCAGTTGAAACTTAATCCAAATAAATAAATCTTTATTAATATTCTAAAATTGTTAGGAACACTTGATTTGAGAAAATTATTTTAGATCATTTTTTAATTCATTTATACAAGTTATTATAAAAATAGAAATTTCATTTATGTACGCTTACGAATTACGGATTATGTAACTGAAGCAAGCACGATACATTTTATTTTTCTTTCAAATTCAATACATTAAAATTTATTCTATATTATTATTAATATTAGCTGTACATTTTTGCATTCTTGCAAAAAAATATACTTGTAAGATTGCATTACAGTTATTTAATTAATTTAACCGGAACGGTTTGTGGTGATTTTTTTTATTCATGCAAATGTATTATGGCGGTTCTTTGTATACCTACACCTAATATGCAGCACTATAATAGTGTTAAGTAATTTCAAAATAACTTTTGCTTTATGTATTTTCGATTCATAATTAGTATAGCTTTATATATAAATTTAAGCTTAATAGAGTATTTCTTTAGGGTATTAAGTACAAATGACATTTGATTTAACTGATCACAATCAAAATCAATTGATATTATAAATTATAGATAGTAAAAATGGAGTAAGAGTGTTCCTTAATCATCGTATTTCTCTACGTGCATAGCAAAATAAAAACTTATCGATTTATTTTTTGAAAATCTGTTACTAACTCATCTTCTAGAGGGGAAAGGTGATTTGCTCGTCATTTTACGAGTAATATATTAGTTTGCAACATTATATCAAAGATTGTTTTTAAAATATCCCATGTAAAGATGTAAAGTGTCGAATATTAAAATTTCTGGAATTGCAACTACATAATTTAAGATTATCGATTTTTATTGAGGTTCAGAACGTCATATACACTTGAAGGATCGGTTATGGTTACGTTCCTTTAAAAAATTCTATTCTTATTTTAGGAAAATTAAGTTTTTATTTAGAAAAAATTTAATAAAAATGTTAGAACCTTCAGTCTTTATTTTCCTATTTCTGACTTTAAGGGAGGTCAAGCAAAATGTATTTCCATTCTCATAAAGAAAAGACGACCCCGTAAAATGTAGATCTAACGTAAACTTATTCAACATTACAAATAATCGCTCAATAAAAGTAAATTGTTTTGGATAACTTCTCCAAGTTTTTATTGAAGAACTTCTTATGACGGATAACTTTTATAATTTCTATATAATTTGCATACTGAAACAGTTTTTCGGAATCTCATTTCTTTATTAAGCTTTAAAAACTTTTTTATTTTTAAATTGTACATATAAAGTATTTTTCGCTTTTTCGAGATTTGAATTGTAAGAATTCAAATTTCGAGAAACTGCAAAAATTAAAAAATTGTCTTGGCCGGATTCTGTAGGATGTTTGTATTTGTTCATTTATTGCAAGAATTTGAATGCACTGCTGTCTGCATTAACTATTTTGTTTCCTTGTAAGGTACAAAAATACAATAGGGAACGTCTAAGAGTTTTTCTTATATAGTAAACTCAATTAAATGAGCTCATCTTTGCCCTCATTTTATTTGATAATAATTGCATTGCAAAAAAGAAAATACGTTGCGTATTGTAACAAAATAAAAGTCTTTTGTGTCATCATTATGAATAATTTCAAAAAAAAAAAAAATTTCTTTGATAAAAAAAATGCCTTTCAAATATAGTTTAGTGATCTGTAAAGAGCACTTAAATTTTACTGAAATAAATTAATAAAAATTAAAGAAGTGAATTGAAAAAAGAAAATGCCCTGTGGGAAGTCTTCATATTCAAATTTTCTTATTCTATTGTTGCTTTGAGTTTATAATAAACGTATATGACTGCATCAATATTTTATGAATTGTTACCTAATTTTTCTATGTGCTATATTTTCATTCAGTAATTGAAAATTATATTAATTTTTATTTAAAGTTTATAGAGGGAGTTAATTTAAATCATATAGTTTAGATAAAATCGGGTTCAGTACGCTTTTTCGGACTAAATCTAGCCACATCCTTTGAATACAACCGAAAAATAAAAATGATAACTTTACTGGATGATATTTATGAATTTTTCGAAAGCGAATTTATAATATAGAAATTTAGTTATTCAAGTTAGCATGAAATAAATTTTTTTATACAGGGTGTAGTTCTTAAAGCTTGTTGTTATACGCTTTTAAATTCGATTGTTATACATATTTATATATGTATGTAGTATTATAAAAACAAATGAACCATGTGTAATATTAATAAAAATGAAAATATTTTTTATAGTAAGTTCTTTGAAGATTGAATTGTAGCTAGAAAATTATTGCATTTTACATTTTATTTTTTTACTTAATTTATTTTACGTATAGGAAGTATCATATTACTATATACTTGTAAAATTAGATTTTTTAAAAATATTAATTAAATACTTTTAGAATATCAAATTTCTTGTATAACTTGCTTTAATTTATTTATAATAAAAATAATTATTTATTCTAGAATTATTACTATTTGAATAACAATAAAATAATAAATATTATTGCCGGGCCACCCACGGGCAGGTCCCATTAGAACTTATAATTCTTCAGAAAGATTCTAGCTAGATATTTTAAAAGTGTAGCTTAAATGTGCTAAAAATAATGCTCTCAAATGCTCCCTTCACTATTAAAGCAACTTCAGTGGAAAAGAAATATGTTTTTCGGCTGCACATAATTATAGGGAAATAAAAACGTCGATTAATGGTCTATTCTTCTTTGATTGCATCATTTATAGTGATGCAATGTAAGGTGTATAAAATATATGTAACTAAATCAAAATGAAGCTCTAATCTATTATTTTTTAGGTCTCTATTCTCCATTAGGTCTCTAAAACTCTGATTTTCCACAGAAATCTCGGAAATGTTACCATAATTCTCTCGTTTCTTGGGAATTATTTTTTGACGAGAAAGTAGAAACTATTTTATAATAGTCAGTATGCGTATTTTCATAGTAGTTATAACAGTATAACCAAAGAATACTCCAAATTTTGGTACAATTATAAAATATTTGTGTGGATAAATTTAATTTACTAGTTAAAAATTTGATTTAAAAAAAAAAATTTAATATAACACAAATTATGTTTTTTTTTGTGTACATACCTTACATAATTTGGAATTTTCATAATATAAGATGGGTGGCGGATTCCTAAATTTGAGTCTTTTAAAAAATATTATATATAAATTAGGCATGTTTGTGTTAGTGTTTTCAATCACCTTTATGTATAAAATAATTAAACAAATTAATTTTTATGCTAATTTTTGGTTCAATGTTTCAGATACGTGTTTAGGGAGTAATAACAATAAATTTAGTTTGGAAAAAAAAAATCACTGAAAACATTTAAAATGGTTGATCAAAATAAATTATAGCAATATTAACTATTAAATAGATCCAATAGCATCTTTCCTTTTTAATTTTTTTACCTCTTAATTTAATAATATTCGCATTATTACATTACTCTCGGATCATATATTCCGAATTTTATTGGTTTTTTCCGCGCGTGAAGGGATACTATACCTAGAACTTCAGTCATGTTAAGGTGCAAGATTTATTGTACGACAGTATTGTTCTAATTAGTATAATTCAAAGCCATACTCATTGGCTTAATTTAGTGCTAATTTAAGGCCTGGGCTTCATCTTTCTTCTAATTCATACTTAACTATCTTATGTATACATTTTTCGTTCTATTTCCCACCTAAAAATAATTTCTAGTAGGTTATTAATTTTAATAATGAACAATTTATGAATTATTTTAGAATACTGATGATGAAAAATTAATAATTTCTTTTGAAATAAGTAATTGAAACTAATGATTTTTTTTTTAATTTCTTAGTTATTTATATCAAACCAATTTAGAAGCAATATTAATTTGATTCATAAATGAAATTATTTTAAAACAAAATTCAACCCTGGCAAAAATACAAAAATTTTTCTCCCCTTCCAATTTTTATTGGTAGGTTTTATATGATTTTTCCTTTAAAAATCTTATTGCATATTTATTAACTTCTGCTCCACTGGATATTTATATATATTTTACGTATACTTTAATACATCACAATGTTTATTACACTGTAAAAAATTTTGCAATAAAATAATTATAAATTATAATAATTGAGGAAATTTTAAACACATTAATATATCTGCAAATAATTGAAGTAAAAAATTTTTTGACTGGTTTTTTTACGATATGATGCAGTAAATTTAGTGCAGCCCAGTGGAGTATCACCTGTTGAGATTCAGACTTATTCAGATTTTGTGGGGACGATGACGAAACTCCCGAGTATATTCTTTGCGACTGCTCGGCACGGGCTATCCGGCGACGCAATTGTTTTGGACAGGTTTCCTAAGCGCTCGGGAACTGCTGTCCAACTTCCTTGAGAATATCTCCAGTTTTATACTTGGGATTGGGATATTATAGGTGGAAACGTTGGGAGGCTACAATAAGTAAGGAGTGGCTTGGGGGGCCCACTCGATTCCTTAAAATTTACAATCTACAAGCAGTAAATTAACTACAAACCTTTGAAAGCTATAAAATCACATTATGTAGATTCGCATAACTCGCAAACGAATAGGATAATCGAGTAAAGTCTTGGTAAAGTCTTCAATATCTCAATCGTAAATGTACCACTTAATATAGAGTAAACTGATTAATGAGAATTTTGTAATCTTACAGTGCACGTATAATGTAAATTAATTCATTTATTGTAGACATTATCACCCAAATATTTTTCAGTGTAAGTATGTACTTGTAGTATTATGGAATGTTTGTATGTACCTACATACATGGCAAGTGGATCTTTAATAAACGCTTTCGTAGATATCATTATTATTTTTTTTTGTTAAATACACAACTACCAACATAAATGTAGCATGGCAAAAGTTTATACAAAAAGAATCATAAAACCGTATAGGAAAAATAGTTGTTATGTTATAAGAGTTCCCTTCATAAAAACTAAACAAAAATAAGATAAAAAATAAAACATACTATACAGCTATGTACAACCGATGGGTGATGGGTCCGTAAAGCGTGACCGCATGAATTCACAGTAAACAAATTTTTTTTTCAAAATATCTACAATAAATATTTATGCATGTATGCGTGTATATTATAAACTATTCGTGTAATAAACTCACTTGTTGTATTTTAATATCTAGCTATTGCATTATATTCGAATTTATTTGATGGTGAATTCTTTGTTTTTTATTTTTAATCTACTTTTACAAATAAATAGATACAATTCACTGTTAGTTGGCGAAAAAATAAAAAGAATAAATAACAAAAATACAAAATAATTTTGTATAAGAAATTTTGTAAAAGTGACTGTAGTAGCGGCTATCAGGCTAGCAAGTGTTCCGTAAAGTAAGAATAAAATATTTTTTTAATGTGAATCAGTTAATTTTTCACCTGAAAACGGATCGGTCTAAATTTTATTCCAATTAGAATTTTTTTGTTTTTCAAATGTGTAGAGATAGAAAATCGTTTTGTTATTGTTTTTAATTTTATTCTGAACTGGTGGTTCTATAAAATTAATTGTGTAAATTTTGATAGGGGGTTCAAAAAATTTTTATAAAACAAAGAAAATGTACACAGATTTAATAACGGAAATGACGTTCTTTTTTATATCATAAAAAAAAAAACAAAAAATTTGTTAAAAGTTTGGTGGGTTGTGAATGTGAAAAAAAAATAAAACAAAAATAACAAAGTTTCTGGCTATTTGGGAAAATTATTTAAATTCATGAAATTTTAAAAAAAATCCAAAAAAATTAATTCAATTTTATTATGAAAATTTTAAAAAATTAAAGTGAAAGGTGGTTAACATTAACAGTGGGATTATATGGTGGTGTAAAATAATATTATTTAATTTTTGAAAAGATCTTACTTAAAATATTTTCTGTCTTTGGTAAAAATGAGATTAAAATATGAAAATTTAGAAAAAAATAAAATAACGATTGAAATTCGGTCTCTTTAGATCCTATTGATCCTATAACACAGTTCGGCTCACCCTTTTTAATAGGCCCAGTTATCATCAGTAAATGAATCAAATTAGTAAGTGAAATTCCCTAAAAAACATAAAACTTACAAATGTATATCGGCTTATATATACACATATAACGAAATATAATGTGAATTTTCAGTATTAAATTAAAAACAATTAAAAAATTAATAATTAAAAATTTAATATTTAAAATTTAAACGAAAAAAAAATTGAAAAAGAAATACTGACTTTCATGAAATTCAAACAATGTGCAATATATAAAAAATTCAAATCTCTTATAAGGCTATGAAGAAGATCGTGAATAAAATTTTGGGGCAGTTAAAGGATAAAAAAGAAAATCTATTGGTAGTTAAGAAAGAACGAATTTCAATTGAATTTTCTCTTTTTTTTATGAAACCTATCCGAACAAATTTTTGTCTTCCACAAATTCAAATATTTAAAATTATAATTCAAACAAACGTTAGTAAATTTAATGTACTTAGTAATTATATTATTTAAATATTGTGCTTATAATAATAAAATTCTTATTTATATGTAAGAATATGATGACTTGAAAAGCACAGAACTCAGAAGATTTTAAGTTTTGAATAAATATTAAGCAACAATAATTTGAGATTCATCATATTATTTCGAGGTAGTTATTAAAAAATTTTGGCATAACAAACGTACCGCCGAGTAAAGAATCATTTTTATTTTCATAAGAACTTGTTCGTTTTCAATAAAAAGATAAAAATTTCATATAAAATAGTAATTACCATAAACTCTTCTTTACATTGTTTTCATCTTCATTTTTTGTCTTATCAAAATTTTGATCATATCTTAAAACAACCTTCAATTATTTTACGGAAAATTTAGAATATCTGCTTAGTTTTATAAATACATCATGTATATAAGAAGATATTTTAAAATTTTCATATAACACTTTTTTTTAAGAAATTTTGATCTATTAAACAGATTTCTTAGGCACTTCTTACAGGAATTCAGTGAGATCACACTGAACATGGGAAACAGAAAATTTTGTACTCTGTAAAGCATACAGTTTCTTATTGTTATAAAATTAAAAATATTTGTAATTTCTTATACTTAATGTAATTTTGATAGATTGTACGTAATTGTAAAATAGTTCAACTTTTACATTTTTATTTTGAAAGTTAAAGCTCTATGAACTTACTTAAATAATACAAAATATCTAAAAGAAATACCCCGTAAAGTATGCAACGTTTATTTAATTTGTAAATTTCTTTGAAATTTTTCTGTTGTTTCCATTAATGTTGGTGGTTTAATTAGCTTAACTTTCTTCTTAATTTTTGTCTACTAATATTTTCCAAAAAAAATTTTAAATAATTCAAATTACTTATATAATAAATTCCATCTAGTGTACATATAAATCCTAAATATGCAATTATATAAGCATGAACTTTCAAAAATTTTAAATTAAAAATTTTTTTTTAAGTCAAAGAAAAGCTTGAATAATTTTCTAGGTCAAGATGAAGTTTAATAGTTTTTTTTTTTCAAAATCATTAACTATATATAAGATGTGTAATTGTCATTTATATGTGTACGAAATAATAATTATGTACATACAAGTTATATAATTTATAGATTACATGTAATTGAGATAAATGAAAATTTTAGAAAATTATATTACAGCTAGATATTATTGTTTGTTGAGAAATAAAACAGTGTATGATCCATATACTTTGTACACATTATACGCTCTTTCATTTCTTAACAGATGTTATTAGTCATTTGATTAGATATTGAAATTTTCGGACTAAAATAATAAAAATAGATTTGTTGCAATAAAAACGGTGGCCTTTACAATATACTACAAGTAATATAAAAAGAACAATTACAAAGCAAATTATTTTATGTAATATTTTTCTCATAATATATCTAATTAGGGATAGCTGCTTAAATTCTACTGAAAAGTAGAAGGTATCACGTATACATTTATACATAAAATATAATTAGTTTAACTCAAGAATTAGGCATAAGTTCCATATCATTCATTATTCCAATTATTCCAATATATTTCATTATTTATTATTTCCCTATGTATTCTTGATCTTAAGCAAGAAGCAAATATATAGATACTTCTTATATGTATATGCGAATAATTGTGCATTATTTACATACCAAATTTAACTAAACTATTTAAAAATTTATGAAATCATATGAAAGTATATCACATTCAATAAAATAAAACAATAATATGAAAGGAAGTGAATAATTTAAATATTTTTCGTCACTTTGGAGTTTCCGTTTAAAATACTCAGATTATTTTCTTTTTTTACGTTCAAGTGCAGATATTTCAAATTTTATAATAATGTGCACATTTTGAGTACAACTATTTGCATTTATATCGTCTCAACATCATTCTATAATACCAATATATGTATATACAGGGTGATTCAGAAAGGTATACAACAACATATACCATTGGTTAAACAGTCGAAAATGTGTAAAACTTTTGTTTCGGAGTAGATGGGAAATCTGAAGGGTTTTCGAAATACAGGGATTTTAACGAATTTTCACGAAAAATTAAAAAAGAGGAAAAATTTGATTTTTCCTAAAGTTCGAATGATTGGTATTCCGAAAGTATACCAAATACATAATCAAGGTCGGTGTTTATTTTAAGCCTTTTATAAGGCCTTTTAGAAACTGTTTGTTTGAAGGCCCTATCTTTTTCGGAACGGAAGTTATAAACAAAAAAGCTTAGATAACTAGAAATTTCGTGAAAATTCGTTAAAATCCCTGTATTTGGAAAACCCTTGAGATTTCCCACCTACTTCGGAACAAAAGTTTTACCCATTTTCGACGCTTTAACCAATGGGATATGTTGTTGTATACCTTTCTGAATCACCCTGTATATACATATATATATAATTATATTATGCAAATTTGTAAAACTGAAAAATAAACCGTGTCAAGAAATTTAATTCTCTACAAATCGTATATACTGGTAAATTTATCAATCTAACAAAATTTCGTTTTAGAAGATGAATTTTTCTTAAATTTCATAAAAACGTCGTATTCAATAAAGAAATAATTTTTATTTGTCTTTTTGTATTCTCCCTAGTAGGAATGTTTTCCGATTTGCAATTGGATGAATATAATATCATAGGGCAGAAATTAAAAACCCTTACGTGTAATCAGTGGCAAAACTCACTGAAAACGGAATTTATTGTAAACAGATAATTAAGAAATCTTAAAAATTTGTACCTAAAATTTGCTGAAAAATATTTATTTTTGATCCTGATTCTGATTGATAACAAAATATGTAACCTAAAAATAAGGTAAAAATTCACGTATGCAGGGTTCCGCCTATAGGTAGGACAATAGATTGGGTCTAGATGACCAATAACTAATAAGGGGTTTTTTTTCTTATTTTGTATATTAATTTAGTTTTAATGTAGAATTTAATAAACCACCATTTCAACACAAGATACCCAAAAGATTAGGATCATGAGCGGTAAATTATATATTTAAATTTTGAAGATCATAAAAATTAAATTTCCATATTTATATACGTACATTATTTCCGAAGAAATTACATATTTAAATATTTTCTAATAAAATCATTTAAATTGAAAATTCCCCCTAAAAACTTTTTTAAAATATTAGAAATATCGTATTCGAATAAATTTCTTCAAAAAATTTCTTTTATGAAGATTTCACATACTAGTGATACAAGATCATATATACATACATACATATGTGGCTAATTGATATTTCCAAAGAAAATTAAATTATAAAAAAAAAATCGCTTTTATGAAGATGGCATGGCTTAAGCTTTTACTTAATTACTTGTTTAATTAAAGATCTTCATGACAGAATATTGCAAAATTTATTAAAAATTAAGTAACAAGTTGTAATTGAATACAATAGGAATTGAAATTTTCAGTATACTTATTTTATTATATCAATCCGTTTTGTAATATTTTCGGTTAAGTTATATATATAACACTTATTCAAATCTGTATATTATATTTGTAATTATTGGATGAGATAAATAAATGATATAAACATAGTTGCAATTTTAAAGTAGAAAAGCTTTTAAAGGCATATTTCAAAAATTTATGATAAAGATGCATGTAAAAACTTAAAATAGAAAATATTTGCAATTATTTTCTTTATTTACAGATTGTTATACACTATAATTTTGGCTTATCAATATAAGTACAATAAATTATTTTTACAGTTGGAAAATTTATATCGCCTGTATTATAAACTCTCAAATTCATTAAGAATATGATCATTTTATCATATGAGTACATTGAAAAATTCAATAAAAATTCTTCTTTACAGTGAGCTCTTCCTTTAAATTTTGATTAAAAATATTAATTCTAAATATTCAACTTTGTTCATAAATTTTATTTCGAGTACTTGAGAGCATAAACGATAATGTTTTCAATGTTTCAAACTTGTTCTCCAATATCTAAAGTAATTTAATTCGTACTCAATTTATAAATCCAAAACACATAAATAAAATTATATGTCATTGCATATAGAACTATTTTTTTTTTGAGCGGCGATGTTTTGAATTATAAAACTTAACACTCATTGGCGCTTCTCAAAAAACAGGTTCGTTGTGTAATTACAAAAATTGTCTCATATATTTATCCTAACTTTACCGCTTAATTTAATTATTTTAGAAACAAAAAGTTGGAATGCAACTAATGAAATCCGCAATGTCCTCAAATTATAGTATAGAGTGTTAAGATTGTAATTCTTTCCTATATTTAGAGCTATTGTTTAGGAATATTGTATAAGTACTGTTTATTAATAAGTTTTCTTGATATTCTACTGTGTTCTTGTTTCATTCAAGGAATTGCAAAGTTCAGTGAAATTTAATAACCTTATAAATATTCTTATAAAATTTTTTTTACACATTATTTTTTAAAAGAAAAATTTAAATATTTCCGTTTAATAATTAAATTTTAAGTTTTATATAGTCCAAGTGTGACAATAATGATATTTTTGTTCGATAACAGAAATTATAAGAAAATTTTTTTTTATATAAAAATACGCGTATATAAAACATGCCTCTATTGTTCTAAGAAAAAATTTTATGTCAAATGAAAAATTAAGAAAAATTTATAAATTTGTATGTATGTATGTATTTTGTATCAATTTATTTATTATTTTAAGAAAAAATTATTTTTGATCGTTTATTCAACATAACTTCCTAGTATTTATTTTATAACCAGAAGATGAACCACTTATAATAAACTTTATAGTTGATCAATCCGTTCAGTTGCCCTATTTTTAAAATTTTGTTTACACTAGAAGCATAGTATTAAAAAAATAAGCAAAATATATTGTTTTTTTATAAAATTTTTTCTATTTATATTTTTATTTATTTTTTTTAATATAAAATACAAAATGAAATATATAAATAAAATGTTATAAACATAACGGTATACGATTAAAAAACAACAATTTATATACGACGAGAATAAATTCGAAATGTCATTTTAAATGACGTTTAATTTGTTAATTTAAATATTTGTTCGAAAAAGCTTTTTATAAATTCAAAAATTTCATCCTAGGTGGAGTGTTTTTTTGTTCTTGGCTTGGCCATTTATTTTTATAAATTTTCTTTGTACAGTGCAATTTTGAACACAAACAATAATATTAAAAAATAATTTTTATTTTATAACAAAATACTTTAGCTACTGAAGAAAACTGTTATACAACAAGGATTTTGAATTGAAAAGTCATATAAAAACAAAAAAAAAAAACAGAAAAAAAAAATACTATAATGTCGAATTGGGGTGAAAATAGTAGTAATAAAAGGTCTTCGCGGTCAAAAACACGCATTCAATATTTAAAAGAAAATTATAATAAAAAAGAAAATTATGAATCAATACCATTATATCAATCAAAAAATCAAAATATTAATAATAGTGAAAGAAATGAATTAAATTTTAATGAGAAATTATTAAGAAAAAATATTAAAAGTAGTGATTTAAATTCAAAAACAAATACAACAAAATATTCAAAAATACGTGAAAGATTAAAAGATCTTAAGCGTTTAACAAATTTTTCTAATTATAATATACAAAATAATCAATTATTAAATAATATTACGAGTAGTATAACAAATAATGATAATAATAAAAGTAATACAATTGAAATCAATGAAAATTCATTAGACAATAAAATTAATCAAACTCCGTCTTCATTATTGCCAACAACAACAGCAACAGCGATAGCAACAACAGCAATTGCTAAAGAAAAGGATAACAATTATGTTCGTATCCAAGTGAAATACGATGACATTGAGAAAACAAATAATTTGGAAATTTTTGAAAATTTTAATTCTAATATAAATAATATTATTACTAATCCAACAAATTTAAATTGTAATATTAATGAATCATTAATAATCGAAAATAATGAAAATTTTCATGAACAAGCAATCGATTGTCCCGATGAATTTTTAGAACAACAGAAATTAAAAAAATTAAAAATTAAGAATAAAAATTATAAGGATAAAATCAGGGATTTTTTAAGGGTAAGTTTTATTTAATAGAAACAATGTATGTAGCTATATATAATTTGTTATACATAATAAATGTTAAACGTAATTATAAATAAACATTTTGAATGCTATTATTTGCGTGACATAAGGTCATATTTTTTTTTTTACCAAATTACAACTATATACATATACATACAAGTGTTTACATAATTCATTCATTTGGTTATTAGATTTAGTTCTCAAAGACAGCCGGCCGACATGTTATAATAATGACGATTATTATTGTAATAGAAACAAATGTGAGGCATTAGGTTTTCGATTGTATATATATTATTTTGACAGTTCTTGAATTATTTATGTATACATAATGTATGTAAAGCATATGTTCAGACACATTACAGTATAATATGAATTGATTTTCTTACACTTATAATATATAAGTATATATGTATATAATATGTTCTAAACTTTATAATTAGAAAACAGTTTTTGACTCATACTCATAGGAAATTTAATTCAGAAAATTTGCCAAAAACAAATTCATTAATTAAATTTTAGGTAATGACTAATTGATTAATAAATAACGCCATATTATAATTTTCATATTTTAATAAAAAAAATTTTTTGCATTTATGTCGAAAAGATTTATTAGCGAATTCAGTTGAAAATTTTCTCTTTCTTATATGTAGAAGAATAATGGATTATATTTATTAAAATTGTTAAACCAATTTTTAATTAAATCTTTTCGAATTTAGTAATTTTTTCATTAAAACAAGTATTTAGGGGAGTGTAATATTAGATTTTGTTTCTCTGACGTTCTAGTACAATGAGAACTTCATTAGGTTAATCAATCCCTCAGCGGAGTTCAATTGTTTAACTTTAAAATATTGCTGAATTAGACATAAAAATTATGAATTTCAATGAAATGAAAATTAAAATGAATCTTCTACATTCGATTTTCAGCAATATTATTAAAAGGGTGCATATATGCGGCGCGATTTTTTGTTTTGTTATTAGAAAATATGTTTGCTTTTTTGATTCTGTACATGAAATTACTCTTAAATTATATTTTAATTTTAAAGGAATCTAGCACTTCCTTCTACTCTCTGAATTATAAGTATACGTATTAAATTTTATTACTTATACTATATATGAAGCAATTATCCAGCATACATAATAGGTTATTGAAATTATTAGAAAATAACCAATTTGGTTTACGTTATATTTGTTCTTATTAAGTGTGGAAAACGAGCCCAGCACTATTATAGCGAAAAGTAGCTTATTGGGATTACCTTAAAATATAACAACTAAATGATGATACAAAATAATTTTATTTGGAGTATTTTCAAAATTTTTTAATTTTTACAAAATTAAAACTGCTCCAGTTTTGCGGCATTTTTAATAAATTATATAATTTATCTAGTATTTTCTCTGTAAAACAATAAAAGATTTTTTTTATATGAGAATTATTTTTTAAAAATAAGAAAATTTTTATTAAGATTTTTTAATGCACTCAATTCAAAAATATATACCTGCGATGCTATAAAGAAGCAAATCAATTAAAATTGTTCAATTAAAGAAAGTTTTGTTTTTTTCGCAATAAATTTATTTATTGATATTATGAGATAAAATGTGACGCAAACGAGGTTCTGTTCTTGAGGCAATTAAAAAAGATCAGCAATCTATTTAAAAAAAAATATTTAAAATTAATTGATTTGTTTTTTTTTCTTTTATTTTTCGCTACTATTTTTATATTAGGTTGCCTTGTCGTATTATATACATATGTAGCTATTATGTAGAGCAAGTGCATTACGCCTGTAAATTTTTTTAAATTAATTTTATTGACACAGTTTCTATGCTACAATTTACAATATATGTATTAATATCGAAAGTATGTGTAATTTTTTGCAAATATTTATTATTTATATAATTCTCTATTGATATTACAAGAGAATAACATGTTATACTCTTCGATTAGCATGTTATAAAAAATTGGATTTAAATTACATAACCTCTTTTCTTTCCTTATTTTGTTTGATATTTTGTTTATTTAAAAATTTTATAAAAAGATTTTTGTATTTTGTATTTATGTCATTTTTGTATTTTGAAATATTTTCGGGTTTTAACTTATTAAAAATTATTATGCATTTAAATAATACCATATATATCTATCAGGCCATCAGGCTCAGAGAGCAAATCAAAAATAAATTCCAAATTTAAATGGAGTTTAAATGGAAGATTTGTCGGAATTTATTTGTGTAAAGGAAATTGATCAATATTTTGGCTCTACTGATTTAAATTTAAAACTGAAATTTCAATAAAAACGGGTGGTAAATTCCATCTGAAAAATGCATTTAAAAAAAAAATTGCAATTTTTAGCGCAGAACACCTTTCTTGTCTTCCAAATGGCAGGGTACTGATTACAGAGTAAAATTTTTGAATAAAAAATGGAATTTAAAAATAAATTGAAGAAAAAAGCATCCCAAAAATAAATCATTCACAAACATGTTACCCACGAAAACATGTTTTACTTTGATAGATTTTTTCTATGTAAAATTTGTAGTTAAACACTATGTGTAAGATGTTAATCGAGAATTCATTGTAGCCCGAATAGGATACAAGCGATGTAAACAAATGTTCAAAATAATTTCCTTAAAAAATTATTTTTCCACATTTTCTTCAAGTAAAATTTTAGTGCAGAATTCAAATTTGTATACCTTAACTATAACATCCAAATTCTCAAACTGATAAACTTAATTAAAACAAAGATTTTCTTAAATTAAATTTTAGGAAATGGAGAAAATGCGGGGAAAAAATATTGTTTTTCTGTCAAAAATTTAAGTATTTTCTTAATTTTCCCTAAATATCTATACATTTCAATTGTCCACTTGCCTTTATTGCTACAGTTTTCTATTTTGGCTCTTGTTTATTTTTCGCTTTTATATTTATGAAGTTTTTCAAACAGACGGCGGAGTAAACAGACCTTTAAACGTAAATATAAAATCATAAAATTAATACTGCTACGTTTTTCAATTTTTTTTTGATAATTTTCTAAATAAGAATATTCTTTTTCAGTAATATTCAATAGTGCCATTGCTACCAAAATCTCAATTATTTTTGGGAAACTTGTCATATGGAAACATTTGGGAAGCAATGAAAAATAATAATAATTTGTAAATTAATTCTGCAATAAAGAAGTTTTACTTTTTTATTTGATCATCGAATGATCTTGGTGTTATAAGCAGTTTAAGAAAATAGAGGTTCATAAAATATATACGTTTATTATCTTTGTATAGATCCTTTTAAAATGATAAAATAAAGTTCTGCCATGTCACATTGTAATCTTCATATCACATTGTAATTTTCCAAACCTCTATATTCAAACCTATAATATAGCTTGTAGTTCAAACATGAAGGTTTGATGTTAACGTATTAAATTTTGGCATTCATATTGCTCAATTTATTGAATAATATTGAATACATTGTAATTAATAATATGAAAACTTTATTGAAAATTCTTCAATAATCGTTTGTTTATCATATTTTTCTATTTACTATAACAAAAAATACTATTATTAAGTGAGATTACAATTACATGACTTTGAATTTACCCGAACATAAATAATTATTATTTATTATAATATTTGGTACATAATTTTAAAGTACACAACTATTTATACATTAAAACATAAATTACATTGTATATACTGTAATTGTCTAATAAAAAATAAATTTTTTTGACCTTCTACATTGTATAAAAATCAGATAAGTTACTGATTTTTTATATCTTTTTAACATAATCCAGATTTCGTGAATTTTAAATTAAAATCTTCATTGCATATAAAATTTGTTTAAATATGTGTATATGTAGATTCTCATTATTATATAAATAGAATATATTTTCTTTATTCAAAAATTAAAAATAATGTCTTTAAAATTCCTAAATATTACGAAAAATCTTCATAAATAAATTTCGTGAATTTTCAATATGTTTACAAACAAGTAATTTTTTTTTTTTAATTATTTTTTTAAATTTCACTTATTTTCTTTTTGATCATGTATTCCAAACAGGAAGATTGGATTCAAACAGCGAACAATTCAAATGATCTTTCAATATCACTGACGTCATATGACCAAAAACATACAAAATTTCCATCGAATTTACAAAAATCTAAAAAATATTTCAATGAGAAAATTTTTACAAATGAAAAGAAAAATTTAAATAAAATGGGAACAGCGTGTTCAACTCATTTACAAAATCATGTGCTTCCCGTAACAGAAATTAATCATAATGAAGTTGATAGTAATGGTGGTGGTGGTCGTTACAGTAGTAAAAATGAAAATTTTTCGTCATCATTAACTAAACATAATAAAAAAGCTGTTCAACCTGATCATATTATTCAAGTAATTAGTGTTAATGACGACGATAATAAAAACAAAAATATATTATTTTTAAAAAAGGAAACAACATTAAAAAATGAGAATTCTCACTTATCAAATAATTTCGGCACAAAAACTAGATCATCATTTACACAAACTGATTCACCAACGGAATTAATACAATCAAAACAATTAGATAGCACTAATACTAGATACAGCAATAATAATAATAATAATAACAGTAATTGTAATAATATTCAACAACAACAACAAGAATATCAAGCTGAACAACATTCTACAATTGTTAATTTACTTAAAAATGATTTAGAGCAATCATGTTCAATTGAAACAGATAATATATTACATCGAAATAATAGTGCTTTTAGTAATGATTCAACTGTAGATGATACAAATTCATTAAATGCTGATAGTTCTACCGATAAATATTCAGTATCAAATAAAATTAAAAATAAATATTATAAAAAAGATAGTAATGAAAAAAATATGTTTTATGATGGTGGTACTTCATTAAAATCAATGCCAAGTACAATTACAACAACGGCAACACCAAAAAATAATATAAATTCAAAACGTAATTCCACACCAAATTCTTTTATTAGTAGTGGTAGTACTAGTAATAATTTTTTCAAAAATTTAAGTGGTAGTGTTCAAAATTTAGTATATGGTAGTCATTATGGTAAAATAAATCGAACAAAAAGTTTTAGTGAAAATAATTTAACAAAATTTTTTAATAAAAAATCTCTCTATAATTCAAATAATAGTGATAAAAATAAGGATAAGTATTTAAGTAATTCAAAAATTGATTATTGTCCATCAGTTTTATATAATCGTAAACAAATAGCTGAAAATAAAGCGATTAGAGAATCACGTAAAATCAATTTAAAAAATATTAAAAAAATGTTCTCACATAATTTACCAGGATTAAGAAATTCAAAGGATAAAACGAATAACAAGTAAGTGATAATTTTTATAATTGAAAGCATAATTTAATTGTAGAAAATTATATAATATTAATTGAAAAGTAAAATCTCTGGTTTCCCTTAAAATTAACTGCTTAATATTGCCATGTTATATTGATTAATTATACATTCTAGTTATTAAAATAATTCTTCAAAAAATAACATTTTAAATGTTACGTCAATATTTATTATTATTGTATATTAAATTTGTTTATTTCATATGTATTTGTATTTACACACATACCTTTAAAATATACTGTTATATTTGTGTTTACATTTAGGATATTCGAAAGTTCACAATTTGATTCATATTTTAAGGAGAAAGCTTCGTTTCTAAAAAGAAATTGAATTTATTAAACTTCAAAATAATTTAATTTTTAGTGTGGGTATAGGTCAGGTTATAAACTCCTTTTCCATATATCACAATAAAACTCTTGTATAGGTTAGGATATCGCGTAGTATATCATATATCGTATAACATTTCCAAACATAGATCTAGGGATGTATTTGTGTTCAAATATATCTATTTGTGTTGGTGTAATATTTTAAAAAAAAATCTTTGCATGTGATTCGTGAAAGCGCGTAAATATGAATTTGATTTATTTTGGTTCCACATATAAAAAAGAATTGTGTACAGTTCTTCAGTTTCAAAATAAAATATAAAAAAGAGCATAATAGTATAATGTCCTTGAAAAGGATTTGCGTTTAAAAAAAGAAAATATAGCTATGATATTATTGTAAACGTTATTAACATTAAGTATTTTTTTTTTAAATAAAAGAATACATTCGTTACATTCGTTTAATTTTTATGCTAAATATTTGAAAGTTTGTTTTAATTGTGTATTTGTATATTTTATTAGCTATTTTAGAAATACATTTAAAAAGAAACAACATATACGTTACTATAGATAACAAGAACCAAATGTGCGTAATATTTCAGAAAAATTATTTCGAGGGAAAATAGTTGCTCTAACTCTAACATATTTCGAGGGAAAATAGTTGCTATAAATGCTCTAACCGTCGGCAAACTTTTGTGAGGTGTGGGCAATAATATATGTGAGTATGAGCGTGGGCCACTCCAGTCTCGTACATTACTCACTTACAAGAAGAAATGATCTTTTTAACTGACTTTATTGATCGTTTTGTTTTGAAAAATAATAAATTTGTATAAAATTTTATGTATCTATTATGTATACTCGTATACATATATTATTAATGATTGAGTTCATAAAATTTTTTGAAAAATTTTAATAGTCGCAATCGAATATATATTTTTTTTCTTGCTATAGCTTAATGATGCGCCGCATTTTTGAGTTAAATGGGCCGCACTTTGCCGAAGGCTACTCTAAAATAGCATTAACAGTCAGACTACAAGTTCAAAAACCGAATGTGAAGCTAATAAATTTTTATTAAGGCTTCGAATTTTTCCTTGAATAATCAAACAAAGAAAGTATTTTTCGAATTTAGAAACTGTGTTTTGCCTAGTTTTAACCTTGCGTTTTTTTAACATATATTTGAATTATGAAAATGTAATTTATAATCGATTTCCATCCCCAAGAATATAACTGAGGAGTCTTCAAAATATACCCCTAGTTTCAATCGTTTCTCTGCAGAATTGCATTTAGAGAAATACAATTTAAATTTTGTTTTGTAGTAGCTAACTATTATAAGTTAGCAAATCGGTTTTGGTCTTAACAACTTACTTGAGTAATAAAAGTTGGAAAGCTTATGGACACTCCGGTCTTGATGTACATATTTCTATAATCGAAATGGATTATTTTTATTTCAAAAATGAAATTGTGCAATTACAATTTACAAGTGCCATTAGTAAGTATTTTGATTAGACGTGTGATAAATGATGCCGATTTCGAGTATAGTGTGAATCATAAAGTCTCAATATATAAAAGTGTACAAACATCCAAATTAAAAATGTCATACAAACATTACTAAATTGGATAATTAACATAAAAATAAAACAAATAAAGTTTATAAATCTAAAAATTTTTTTTTTTAAATTAAAGAATGAAATCTAAACAATATTATCGCACGAGCTTTATTTTTATCACAGCATGATATACAAATGTACACAAATATAAATTTTAAAAAATTTAAATAGCAACAGAAAATTTCGCCTCATGTTTTAGTGGTTATTTTGTCGGTGATCCATATTATGAACTATTTTGGAATGACATTATAAATTTTACACATTATTTCTAATGCTTATGCGAATTTTAAATTATAAGGAAATATTTATTACGATTTGAATTTTCTGTTGACCCAGATGTACTTCAATATTTTAGTTTGTTTTAGCGATAACTTTAAAATAATAAATTTACACGAAGCACGCTGAAATGCATATGCAGATTAGGAACCAGTTTAAGTAAGCATATTAATTCAGGTCGCTTGAATTGGAACATTTAAGTATTATTTAAAAATTATTGTGTGAGTTTATTAGTAGCCAAAAATTCTCCTGTTAGAGATATGATGAAGTTGGCGAACATATCCTAGAGTTGATTTTATTATCTATTTGACTGAGCTTTTGCTTTCAAATTGGGTTTTTGGAATTGTAAATAAGAAAATTCAGAAATATTTAGAATTCATAAATCACAAGTCAACAAGTGAACTTTATAACTCTTTTATTTAGCTGACTAATATACTCTTGAAAATTATTTTAGCATATCGTTGTACTTATGCAATGATTTTATTAATAGTATGTTTTATCTCGGAAAAAAATTTTCAACAAAGTTAATTTCAATTCATTTCTAAATTTTCTGAAATATTAAAGAAGACTCAAAATTTGACTTATTAAAAATTAAGAATTTTTTTATAGGATATACTTAGATTTAACTATTTATAGAATTTAAATAAGAATCGCCAAACTCGATTAAGGCTATCTTTAGATCTAACACAAGAATAATAAAAATGCAATCAAATTGAAATTATTTCATAGAAAATAGGTTATAGCTACGATTGTGTCAGTTATATAACAGCCTTACTTTTAGAAATGCACTATAGAAAGATAGTAAAAAAGGCTATATTTAACAAGTAAACAACGAACCTCATAGCACTTATTGAGCTACATAGTCTATGTAGCTCAATCGTTAAAAAAATGAATTTTTTAAAATGTGTTTTCGTTATTTTTGAATAACGGTATCTTTTTCGATGACGTAATGTGGTATACCTGTCCAAAATTTTTCAATAGATTCTGAAAGCCTGCCTTGTGCCCTTTAATTTTTTCTATAACACGTTTTAGTGAAGAATGAATACTTATGACAAACAATTGAATCAAACAAATAAAATTTTAGAAAACATTAACAATAGTCCCGACCCCCTATAGAATATACATACTTATAAACATACTTATATGTATACTTATGTGCTTATAATTAGAATCTTGGCTCCTTTCATAATAAGACGTAAGAAGTTTAGAAATTTAATTGAATTTGAGTTATTGAATCAATTAAAACAATTATTATTTGTTTTTTGTATTAAAATAAGAATTTTTCAAATGAAATAAGTAATTTTAATTTGTTATGGTTTTTTATTTCACAGAATAAGTTACTCCTGATTATATTATTAGTATTTGTGTAAAATATTTAATAAAAATTCTATTGTTAGATCATAGAAATCGTATGAACGTAAAACGGAGTTTTTGTTTAGTACTTTGTGATTGCAAGAGGCGTTCACAGTTATAAAAATTGTTGTAACATAAAATAATCTAACCAATACTCGTATGACTGTATTTTCACTTTTATGTTCAAAATTAATAATTATTCAAATTTAACAGAATAGTCTAATGGATTATTTTTCTGAATTTTAGAACAATGACACCCCTCCCCAACCCCTTCTTTTTAATAGACTCATTATATAAGTATATCGAAATCTCCTTCCATGAGAAAATAATGAAAATTTGTCAAAAATTTCTCAGTTTTCATATATTAGAAAACAATTCCAAAGCATTTCAATGAAAACTAATTCAAAGCACATTTTAAAAACCCATCAAACTTTATTAACATTAATTTGAATACAGATCATACCGCATAATCTTAAAAAAAAATTAGTATATGTATTTACAGGCAAAAATTGATTTAAAATATTTTAGTAAATCATTATAATATTCAAGATGATTTCAAATCTGGAATTCCGCCTAATTTAACAAAAAATAATTTGAATAGACCTCCCTTACTCTTATAAAACTCCCAATAAATGTAAAATTTATTTACGCAGTGAACTTTAAACAAAGTCTTTTGATTTTACAACATTTTTTGTATGTATATTATTAGGTAGAATTAAATAGGTTAAAAATTACATTAAACAGGTTACTTTGTGCTCCCCCTAACACGTTGTAATAAAAAGTAAAATTTGTTTTGTAAAAAAGAAAGCGTGAGTAAAAATAAAATTTTAACATTGAATAAAGTTTTATTGTTTTGTAAATGCCTTTGTCAAGTAGCATAAATATGAGCAAAGGTATAATGTACGTATGCATGTAACATTACATATTATGTATAGGTACATAATATCATAATTATACGTGTATGCTAATGCATTTAATGCTAAAGTAAATGCAATTACATTTTAAAAGGGCTAACTTTCTACATAAATGATTGAATTAATTATAGTTTGTACTTTTATATACGAGGCTAACCAATCTATAATAATTCATTTTTGATTTCCACAAGTCACGTTTTGTAATAAAATGTGTTTGAACCACAATTGGAAAACTACACTATAAATAAATTCTGAATTTTAAATAACACATTTAAATTTTAAGAACTTTAATTGATTTTGAAATTTTAATTTATATATTTGTAGGGCTATTTTGTTTTTTAAAATGAAAAGTAATTTAATCGATCTATTTATCAAAGTTTTTAATATTCAGGTTTTTTGACTTGAATTTAATTGGATGATTCCTTAGCTAAACTGTGATTAATGAAAGAACTATGAAGCAATCGTTATTTAAATCAAAAAATAGTATCAATAGTGTTCCGTCTGAT